TGTCCCTAAGGCTTGCTCTATTTCCTACTTCATTAAGTCCAGTATCATTAGAACAAAGCAGAGTTTTCCCTGGAAACCAAAGCACATAGTCCAATCCACAAAATGAAACTATTTTATTTTTTTCTTATTGTGAGTGCTAATATGGGAAACCATCGCTCAGTGGCAATAATATCCATCTGGGTACAGCAAGAACTAGAGTTCCAGTTTACCTCGGTCATTACATGTTCTAATTCCTATGGAAAAAAAAAAGGAAGATGCATCTTTACATCAAAGCCTGATTTCTCGGCTTATTTTTTAAAGCATGAGTCAAAGTGTAAGAGGAGGAAAGATCATCCCACATAGAATGAAAAACAATTGAGAATTTGGTTCCACAACACTAGTTTTAACCTCCAGGGTAGTGGCATTTAATCCTGGCTGCAAGCTAGAATCAACAGGGGACTTAAAGTGAAAACAAAAACAAACTGATGTCCAAAGTTCCCAATTAAATTCAGATTCCTAGGGGAAGGTCCTAGGCATCATACATGTATAAAATGTCCTCAAGTGATTCAAAGGGTCAGACAGAAGTGAGATTTCTGCATCTTATGGAATGTCAAAGAGATAGGTGTACTCTCATATTCATTGCAACGTTACTCCCGTGGGCAAAACATGGAAGCCAAATAGGTGTCCATTAGTAGTTGAATGAATAAGGGAAATGTAGTATACTCAGTGGACTACGAAGAAGTCTTTAAACAGAATGACCCTCAGTCATTTCCAACAACATGGATGGAACTAGCGGACATGCTGCCAAGTGAAATAATCCTGGCACAGGAAGACAAATACCACACGATCTCACTTGCTTACATGTGGAATCTTAAAAAATTGCTGCCATAGAATCAGAAGAGAAAGGTGTTTACCATAGTGGGTAGATGATAGTGAAAAGGGAGATGTCCTTTAAAGCATACCAAGTTGTAGTTAGACTGGAGAAATGAGTTTTAGTGATCTGTATGGGACCACAGTTAATAACAACATATCGTGCATGTAAGATTTTCCAAAAAGATAGATTTTTAATATTCGCACCACAAAAAAAAAATAACTTGATGTTTATGTTTGTTACCTTCATTGAATCTTTCTACAATGTCTATATTGATTACATTGTACTCTATAAATATGCAGTTATTACTAGATTTGAGATCTGCTGAGCTTACACAATACTCTTACCTTAATAAGTGAATAGTCATAAATACATGTAGTCCAACCACACCACCCCAAATTCATAAGAGGGAAAAAAAAAAGGCTGAATAGAAATATCTGCAGTATGAAGACTCACAATGCTTCTTTCCAGGTTTAGTCTCACAAAGAAGAAAATATGGCCTTCATCTTTTTAAAAAAATTGTCCAGGCAGCACAGAAGCAAAATGAAAGAAAGTATGGGTAAAAAGGAAGAGGTGACAGAGTCATATCGAGATAGGAAGGAGGAGAATGGCTGAAACTGGGGGTGTTGGAGTAATAAGGCAGTCTCCACTGATGAGCTGTAGGTAATATCAAAGGCACATTTGCAGAATATTTCCTTTTCAGTAATTGTACAAAGACTCCCTTGCCATTACAAAGCACTTTTCTTCTTGGCAGATTGAAGAATGCTTTACCAACTAAATGCATCTCAGTAATATCCAGAGCTCAGGTCCAACATAATCACAAGTTGCCTTGTTATTACGGAGGTAGCAGCCCCATTTAATAACATATTAAATGCATTATTCATTTATGTAACTCAGACCCAGGGACAGCTGCTGGGATGAAAATAGAACCATTCTGTAATGCAAAAAGCAGGTGTGTGCTTACTTGAGTAAATTAACTCTGTATTTCTGCACAATTTTCTTCTAAATTTCAGGGACAGGTCTGGTAGGGCTAATGTGATGCCATTTTCATCCAAGAAATAAAATGGTTTCAGAATGGTTTTTAATGACCATTTTTAAAAAAAATCATCAACAGCCTTCTCTGTGGCAGAATCCCAGGAGGATAGATTCGTGCTTTGGGTTGAAGCAGAGCTCCTGTTGCTGCAGGATTTAGGAGAACCTGAGGTGATGATTGGTCAGAACGGGTGACAAACAAAAGAAATACTCTGCACCTCATGATGCCAGTAGCAGTGGTGGGCCAGTGCTTCTGGTGCTGCTCGCCAAGATGGAGCCACAGGTGTGTTTGATGCTATGCAATTAAAAAACATAACCTGCCTTTAGTTTGCACACTGCCACACCTCTGAAACCAGCAGGCAGTTTCTAATGCACAGTTAAACTCCCTGAGATGCCATGATTATTCCGGAGGGTTTTGCTGGTCATTTTCTTGCTACCATTGCTGTTACCAAAATGTTATCATTCTCCAATGTATGCACCATGGGAGTTTTTTTTTCCCCTCTTTCCTCTCCCACCTGCCCTTATTTTCTCTCTTAATCAGTTTACACTCATAAAAACATAAAAAGGGATTTCTTTTCTAGGCTGATGTTCAAATTGCTCATGCATGACAATGACCCAGCAGAATGGGCAGTGATCTAAGTGCTGGAGCTGGAATTTGGAGGCTGCCCATTCAGCTAGGTGTTAACTTCTTAGTTGATGGATTATGAAGAGAAGCAAGGACTCCCAGGATAGAGATCAGCACTGCTCATTTGGTGGGTGAGGGGTGAGTGTTTGGGGCAGCAGTAATAACTGATGCTATGCTGGTATGTCAACATGTAAACTGATGCAGTCATGCCAGTGAGGATTTCTAGATTCTCAGTTCTGCTTATTTGAGCACAAGGAGACCCTCAAGGAGCTTTAAAGTTTATACATTTCTCAGGAATCCTGTGAAATCATGCAATTCAAAGAATTTCTATTACATGAATCATGAAGACCTCTTTAGGAGTGTAGATGTGGGTCAATCTTACTACTGTAAAGAGGCAGTGCAAGGTAATAGTAAAGAGAGGATGTGTTACAGGGACAAATAATCCAAATTGGCCATGCAAGAGGACACAGAAGCAGAAGGAGCAGAAGAAAAGAAGTGGTTTCAAGAAGATTAGAAAGACATTTGGATGGAGCCGAGTAAGCTGGCTGGGGAGAATCTTCAGAAAAAGTAGAATAAAATCATCCTGTAGAGGGCTTATGTGAAGAATTATAGGATTCACAGTTTATCTGGAGGGCATTTGGAAACCATGAAGCTTGTGAACAGGGAAGAGAAATAACAATACTAACTGAAAATAGTTGAAAACATTTCACAAGTACTTGCTAAGTGATAGGGCAGTTTTCAGCAATCTGGGTACATTAATTCATGGAATTCTTGCACCTACCCCATGACATGAGTTGAGTATTAATGGTTGACCTTGTGCTGATCCATAATGTCCAAAGTGCTTTTGCAAATTTCTCATTGATTTTTTAACCCTGCTTTTAGCTTGTCAATCCTGAGATTCAGGAACTGAGGGAAGGACATTGGCTAGATGTAAATGAATTGGAAAACTGCCTGCAGCTCAGATAGATCCAATGTATTGCCAGTGTTGTCAAGTTTTCCTGGAACCTAGTTTTACCCATTCTTTCATGTACTGCGTGAACTTTTCATGGTATAGTCACCAAGCTGAGTAGTTGTGACAAAGACTATGTAGCCTACAAAGCAAAAGGCTTATTAGCTGGCCCCTTAAAAGTTTGCCAACCTCTGGTCTAGTATATTTTGATTTCTTCCAATTTATGTTCTACCACTAACTCTGGAAAAGTGAATTTGAGAAATCAAATATAACTACAGGGGTTGCTGAGCCCCTCGGGGGAAAAAAAAGATGAATTGGTAATACTGAACCTCAAAGTTCTTAAAGGTTGGTCATCCTGAATATACAGATTCTAATTTACCATGAAGCTGATAAATTTCTAATAAATTGAAAGGGACATATTTGTAAGATAATTCATTTATTCTTTTATTAGAGCTAACATGAGAATAAGCAAAAGTTTGAAGGATTTACTCAGAATGCAAAAACTGAAGCCTCCTTGGTGTAAGGTTTCAATAGTTCAAGCAGTATACCTTCTCAAGAAATGATTAGAAATTACCAAATTTAGCCAGCTTTTTCTGTACTATGCCATTATTGTAGCATCCTTTCTCTGAATTGTAAGTTCCCTTGCCATCTATGCAGTAGTCCCCCTTTATCCACAGTTTCACATTCCACAGTTTCAGGTACCCATGATCAACTGCAGCCAAAAAATGTTAAATGGAAAATTCCAGAAATACATGTTTTATTAGTTTTCAACTGTGTCTCATTCTGAGCAGTGAGGTGAACCATGCCTAACTCTACATCACAATGCCTTTGTCATTCAGCTAACATCGTCTCATCATGTAGCCATTGTTCACCTCCCATCATCATAGGAAGATACTGGGAGTTCAATAAGATATTGGGAGAGAGAGAGGGAGACAGAGAGAGACCACATTCACACCAATGTTATTATAGTCTATTATTGAAATTGTTCTCTTTTATTGTTATTTTTGTTAATGTCTTATTGTGTCTAATTTGTAAATCACACTTTCTAATAGACATATGTGTATAGGGAAAAGCTTGTATTTATCAGGTTTGTTACTACTCATAGTTCAGGCATCATTGGGGATCTTAGAACATATTCCCAGGACTGTATTATTCATTCTGGTTCTTAATTATATGTTCTTTAAATGATCTCCTTAATTATCCATTTATGTCTCTTCATCCTGATTTTTGACTTAGTGTAGGGACAATGTCTTCCACTGTGTGCATTTCCTATAATGAAGAAAGTGAAGAAGTGATTCATCAGTTGATTTGATGAATCAAAGAAGTCAATTAAGATGCAAATAATAGATAACAATTTGTTGCTCCAATTATTTCTCTCTATTGGAAGCTAGATATGAATCAGCCCTAATGCTCAGACTAAAAGGGGAGGTAGGTGGGTGATGGCCCTGATGGTCCTCAGGGCCAAGCAGCTCAGTGTAGTAAAATCGTGGGAGTAATCTTCTTTGTAAAGAGCTAGTTGACAACTTGAGCTTTTCTCCTTTCAGGTATAGAAAGGTGGTTTCCAATAACTGCACTGATGGCGTGCGAGAACAGTACACGGCCAAACCACAGAAGTGTCCAGGGAAGGCCCCTCGTGGGCTCCGGATCGTCACTGCAGATGGAAAGCTGACAGCAGAACAGGGGCACAATGTCACTCTCATGGTGCAGCTGGAAGAGGTAGGCTGATTCCTGTCTCCCCCTCTCACCTTCTAGAGCTGGTGATTTTGTTCTAACAAAGCATAGTTTCCTTTGCGTATCTTTTTTAACCTTCTCATTTTTGATGCAGTTGTTTTTTGGTCTTTTAACTTTGCTTTATTGGCACTTTCAGCGAAATATATTCTCAGGATACATTAACAGTATTCCCAGAGTAATTTAACCCACACATATACTCACCAACCTAAAAGATGCTAATGCTTTTGCCCTCTCAGCCTCACTTCTTGGATTTTTTTTTTTTTCCAAAGGGAACAGGCTGGTCAAACATACATCACGAAGGCTAAACATCACCAAGTCTAATATCTTTGAAAGTTGAGAGCTTGTATTTTGGTAGCACCTGAGGGATATCATTATGAGCATCAATTATTTTTTGCCAAACTATGGTTGTCTGAAATTTCTGACTACATAGATGGCAGATAAGATGAAGTTTCTCCTATGAGGTTTAGAATGCACACAGGATTTTTGTCATCTTGTAAATGAAGAAGGCCTCCCAGAGATAAGTACTTTCATTACATTATTTCAGTTATTACACCAGGCAGTCCTACCTTCAACCATATTTTGGGGGAAGCTAAAATGTGCCCAGCACTGTACTGGGCCAAACAAATAAAAAGGGATTTTAAAAGTCAATATTAAATATATACCATTGCCTTCCAGTTTCCTCTTCTGACAGTTCTTGGCTTCAGGTCTTTGACATGCATGGACTCCCCTGGAGAGCATTTTCAAATGCTGTGTTTTGGTCACATCCCCAAAGATTTTCATTTGGAGAGTTGGCATGGGGCCTAAGAATTCCTTTTTGGAGCAAGTTCACAGGTTATGCCTTGTGCTTGGAGGAAAACAAACAAAAACAATGTCAGTGTTTTTGGGAGAGGACAAATAAGGAGAGAACAAAATCATAGGCTCTGGGGCATGACTTGAAAGAAAAAGGTGAAGTAATTAGGATTGCTTTGTCAGGTTACATCAAAATTATTTGTATTTTTGTTCCTCTGGGATAAATGAATATTGAGTTTGAAACTGTGGCTTAGATGATGCTTTTCCTTCTAGTCCAAGGGATACTTAAAAACCAGTGCTTTAATCTAATACTTTTTTCCTAATATTCCTAAATGAGTGCCTTTCAAGACCAATATTCTAAATACTGAGATTTCCCCAAAATCCTGTATTGGAACTAGAATTATACAAGTTAATTTAGGTCAATTGGAATTGCTTGTATTTCACATAAATAAATTCTGTGGGGACTTCTGCCTGAGGCTATGACAGATTAGCTTGCAGCAAACCAAATCAAGAAGACTGGGAAGCTAAGTTCTCTTCTCGAGAGATGAGGGATTCGATGGGATTAGTACAATATTTTATCTTATATTTCTCTTCAAGAACTTTGTCAATTGATATATTATACTATATAGTAGGCTTGGATTTCAGATTCCTAAATAAGACCAGACAGAAAGTGTTGGCTAAAAAGGAATAATAATAATAATAATAATAATAATAATAATAATAATAATATAAGAAATAAAGGAAATGAGTAGTAGAACACTTGCTTAGCCTGTATGAGGCACTGGGTTTGATGCTCAGCACCACATAAATAAATAAATAAAATAAAGTATTGTGTCCATATACAACTAAAAAAAATGGTAGAAAATGATGAAATGATAGGTAGGTCTAACACAGATGGAATTATAGGCCTAGCAAAGAGGGACATAAGGAGCAAGCATCACTTCTGAAGAAATAGTGGCTAAGAATGTTCTTAGAGTCAAGAAATGGAACAGAGTCAAGAAACAGAGGTATATAAAAATATATGTTTATGTATTATCTAATGAAATTAATATATATGTGTATGTGTACTTACAGAGAATGTATATATATATTTCAGTAACAAATACATAAATATCAATAAACAAATCATAGTCTTTTCAATAATGGTGCTGCAACATTGAATATCTACATGGGATTCTTTTTTTTAAAGAGAGAGTGAGAGAGATAGAAGTAGAGAGAGAATTTTTTAATATTTATTTTTTAGTATTTGGCGGACACAACATCTTTGTTTGTATGTGGTGCTGAGGATCGAACCCGGGCCGCACGCATGCCAGGCGAGCACGCTACCACTTGAGCCACATCCCCAGCCCCTCTACATGGGATATTGAGGCCATTGACTATCCTGTGTCTTCCCATAATACGACAAACAATTCTCACTGGACTGTCAATCTAATTTTGAAAGATAAAACCAAATTTTCTAAAAGGAAACAAGAGTATCTTCATGACCTTGAGTTTGACAAAGATTATTTTTTTTAAAGGAAACAACCCGCTGGGCATAAAGAATCTATGGTTTAGAGCACATTAACAAATACTATATAAAATCAAACAAAATATAGTCCTTTGTCTTTAGATCTTTTTTTGGAAAAAAAAAATCTCTGTTGGATTCTTAGGGAAGAATTCATTTCCTAGACCAACCCTCTACTCTGTTTACCTGCATTGTATATTTCCCAGAGACACATGGAACCTGATTATGATTCCCAAAAGGTATCTCTTTTGTAGAAGTAGATGCTTATTCTGTTTCTCCATTTCTTAGAACATAGTAGAGCACTCTCTGAAGTAAGTCCTTTGGCTCCTGGTCAGCTCAGACTTTTGCACAAATGAGAACACACTTGAGGGGCATGGCCTTATCTCAGTTCCATCTAGCTTTCCAAATAACAATGATTATCAGGCATTTCACAATGGGCTGCCTGACATGGGAAAATGGGAACAGACTGGGTGACCTGGTACTAAGATGTGTGAATTCATGCCTTCTGCTCTCAGGAAGGGAAAAAAAATATTAAGTCAATTCATTCCACTTGAGTGGGCGAAGCTACATTGGCAGGGATGAAATCTGCTGCCTTCTGCTGTCAGACATGGCCCCTGGATGCTCTTATCTCCTGTGCAGACATGGAAGCCAAGACAACTGACTCCCATTAGGAGGCCCTGGAGACCACACATTTGAATATGGGATTCTGTGCTTATTCTTCACAGACTCTTGCAGAAACAACCTCAGTTTTTCTGTTGCTCTCTTGATTATGCACATAGGCATGTGTGATAAATGTAATGAACAAGGAAAAGTAAAGGTCTCTGTGTATCCAGGGAGCACTGAACTTTGGCACAATTCATGACAATTTGGATGTACATTTATTGAGCACTATCAGTTCTAGTTTGCAAGTGCATCACTTGGATTATCTCATTTAGATCTCACAATGCTCTATGTAAATAGGTGGTGTCATATTTGCCATTTATAGATGATGTAGCTGAGGCCCAAAAAAGCAAAGTAACTTAGCTGAGATCATACACGTACTAAGTAGTAGACTCAGGAGTCAAGTTCAAGCTTGTAGCATCTTTCTATAGCTTCTCTATGATAGAAAGAAACATTCTCTGAGCAAGAACTTCCTGTAGTTTCTATGCCTCTGTAGAAACCCTTGGCTGGGGGCAGATAGTAACAAAGATAAAGAAGTAGAAAGGAAAACCAACACCATCTCTGCCCAAGCCAGTTTGGCCTACAGGTGCTCCTGTATTGTCAGACACTAGTTGGCAAATCTACCAATATTTTCCTTATTTTATGAGATGATTTATACTTTCAGACCAGTTTGTTGAAAAACATTTCAGCAAAGAGAGATACTAAATTCTCTCTTGGGTTTCTCCCTCTTTGCAAAACTATGCCTTTCATGAATGCCTACTTATATCTGACATTGTTGAATTTGTTCTAAAGAATATTGAAAATCATAGGCTATGAATGCAGTACCTAAGGAGTTTAGAATCCATGTATAGTAAATCAAATTTCTCCTGTGGCTTAGGTATGAATTAAAATGTAATTGTTTAATAAAAATTAAATCCCAAACTAAAACGATTTTAAAAATTCCCCACAACTGGCAGCACATGTTGTTTCTAAATCCTCCTCAGACATCTCTGAGCATTCACTTCTCACCACCTAATTTACTTTGGAAATAGTGTCTCACTCATGCCCAGTATCTAGTGCCAAGTGTTATAACAATAGGAATATTTAATGTCATTCCTCTGAAAAATAGCAAGTCTTTCCGGTACCAAAGGGATCCAGAGGTCCCTGCTACCTTATGATGTGACATCATGGTTGTGATTAATGCAGAAGTGGATGAAAGACTCCCCTTCCCTAGAGGGATATTTGTTTTTACTTGTGCATTGAAGCCTGTATCTCTGTTTCATTGTTCAACTTTCTCCTATAGTCTTGTGATCCCTCTTGGGCTTGGAGGATGTATGGGCTGATGGAGCCCTCTTTTTTGTTCTCAATTACTTACATCCAAACCCCTTCACATAGTTTCCATCTCCTCTGCCTATTAACTGAAGCACCATAAGGCTCAGGAAGCAATAGTTAGATGTGTATCTATTTATTTGTTCTTTAATATATATTTTTCTAAGCACCAATTTTATGTTATGTACTTTCCATTCACAAGCAGACTTACTTTAGGTGTAAGTGGGAATACATGTTTTTGAGTTAACTAGGACCTCTGCTGTATTGAACACTATGTAAAAATCCATCCATATGAAGCATAAATGACTAAAAAGTAAAGAACAAAAAAAAATTTATTGCATCACATTACAATAATATTTTTTACATTCTCAAACTATGAATATCATTAAGGTAAGAATCATGTCACTTCTAGTTGCGTATTGATAGAGCACATTTATAGAGAAAAAATAACTCAATAAATATGTGTGGATTTGAATAAGCTTCTCCAGGAAGAACAGAGATAAAGCCCAAACTTGGAAGGAAAAGACTGTTGAAGTTTGAATACCTTACAAAACAGGTTAAAATCTCCATCTGAAATCTAAGTCTCTTCCTTTATCGTCTAATTGTGCATGTCCTAATCGCAACATAGGAATACATGAAGCCAAGCCCAGTGGCCCATGCCTATAATTCTTGCTTCTCAGGAAGCTGAGACAGAAGGATCACAAGTTCAAGAGCAGCCTGGGAA